TTTCCTAATAATCGTGGGTTCTACAAGCAAATCCCAAACCTAGATCTATGGAAACGAAGATTGAAGGGGCAAATCTGGAAAACAGAAAAACAAAGAATGCATTTCAGAATCAAGAACAAAGATGGACTATCAAGAACAGTGGCAGAAATCAACAGGAGTATGATCAGTGTATAAATAGTGTACATTCAAGAAGATGATTTGGGTAAAAACAGAATCATGAAACAAACATGTCCAAATATATGGTGGAATACAAGATGCAAGGTGAAATACCAGAAATATGAACAAGATTGCAAAGACAGCAGGTAACATAGTAAAGTTCAGTAAGATAACAAGAAACTGAAACCAGGCGAAATAGTGGCTTACCAGAAAGAGGGAAGCCGGAATGGGATTTGCTGAAGTCTGACGACGGTTGCAGAGGTAGAAGATCGGTGGAAATCGCGCCGGAGGTGATAAATAAATCAAGTTGCAGAACTCAGAAAGCTTGAGCAATGGCGGATTTGAGGAAAAGAGGTAGAGAGAGAAAAAGCTGAAGGATTGAACAAAAAAGTGAAACGACGAAAAGAGGGAAAAAAGATTTTGTTAAAACTTGAAACGGCGGCAAACGAAATTAATGCGCCTAAAACAATGCGAGCGTCAGACGGCGTAAGTATGCGCAAGACGATTAAGAAGCGCATACCAGGTACGATCCAGTAAGAAAAAGACGCGTAGCTAAAAACAGTTGAGTTGTTATGCATGACAGCTCATGCGCGTGAAAAAGTTCTTGGAAATCTTGATCTTTAGAAAGATATGTCGGCCTATAATGATGATCTCGGCTGAAGCCGATGTACTGGCAGGAAGTACCGATATAGATTCTATCACCTCAGGATGCCGAGGTAATAGAACCTAGCGTAGGGGGCAGTTGTGGGGATATATTTTCTGAGTCCCAACACGTGGCCCAGGTGGCGCCGACGTGTCAGCCGAGGTGCCACGTGTCCTGGTCATGACGTCGAGGTGATCTTGGCAAGGCCGAGGTTATCTCCGAAGATATCAGAATCCGAGATAAACGGATAAGGGACAAGAGTCCTAGAATAAGGAAGGACTTTAGCATGAATAAGGATAAAGCTCTTAGGGAGATTATCTTTATCTCTTGAAGAGTCCAGGAAAAGCACTGAGTAAGAGTCCATTGAAGCTAGGCTTCTATTGGGACTAGGATTAAGTTTGCTATAAAAGAAAGGCACCCCTATGGGTCTAAGGTACTCAATTTATATTCTGAACAGTGAGATTAGCACTATTGATTATCTTTGAGAGATATACTAACTTTATCGTCAGAGTGCCCCGGGTGGACGAACCACCGCCGGAATCTTCTCTTTCTATTACAGGTCAGTTAGGTGTCATCTATTCTGCCAGTTCTCTCCAACTGAATACTAAGTTGGGCAGTGTGATCAGAAAATCACCCACACAAAAATCATGCTATGAAACTATAATATTTTACTGTTTCAAAACTTGTTTTTCAGTTTGATCAATATTGGAGATTATTTGTTTAAACCCTACGAAAATTGAAAATAACATATGTTTTTTTCCTATTGTTGTTGTTTGTTGTTTTTACGTTTTTTTTTTTCCTTTCAGTTTATCAATATTTAGCGCATTTTGCTATGTTTTTTCACTCTAATTTCTCAATTTTTTTTTTTTACAATATTCTTGACATCCAGCGAACGTTCTAGACATTACGATAATGTTCAGAACACTTCGGCGATAGTCTGGCGAATTTCCGGTGATATTCCAATGACTTCACAACGATGTTGAACATTCCGGCGAGTTTTCGATGACCGTTTGACGGAAGTCCGCTAGTGGTGAGATATAAAAGCGTCTTTAAATTTAAAAAAAAAAATTGATAATATTTAAAAATATGTAAGATTAATTGATACAAATATTTTATTTTAAAATTAGATAGATTTTAAATTTTATATGAATTTATTAGTAAGTTCTCTTATATCTTTTCACTTCCTACTCCGTTCCTGATTCCAACATACGTACGCTTTCTTTAACAAAAGTTTCTAAAACTTTCTTAACACTTCGTAACTGACTTCAAGATCATATCATATAATTTATATGGATATTTTCTATTATATATATATGAACTTAGTTTTCATAGTGACTCCCAAACCGATCATAGCGTGAAAAAACAAGACTCTGGTTTATTCTCTGTTATGAAATCCAAACATAAGCTGCCAATCTTATTACAACAAACTTAAAACTTGGGGGATTTTGGTTGGATTTGGAATCAACTCAAATCATAAGAATTTTAGAATCAAATCTGATTGAATCAATGAAACAAGATATAATTCAATTTGAAATCATGATTTTTTAAAAACTTATCATCATTCACAATATGCTTACAAAATATTACCCATAATCTACTCAACCATCAACCTATAGCATTATATATATATTAGATAATTTCAAGTAACAAAAATTGCACAAATTTTTTTGTGGGACATAATTTTGAGTTGACTCCATATGGCCTATGTGTTTAGCCAAGGTGCCACATATATAGTTTTGATTTGTTGAGATGTGAGTTGGTCAAACCTAAACTCGAGATGTTTGGATGAAAGATAAGAGTTTTAGATAATTACAGATTCTCAGTTTGGATACGTGAGGACTCTTGAGAGAGTTAATCTTATTTTGAATTGAAAGGGATAGAGTTTTATGAAATAAGGGTATGTTTGTTTGGACAGACTGGATAAGGGGGGATTGTAATCCATCGGATTGTTAGTCCTGGGGTATATCGTCCATGGACTATTTGGTTGGACTGAATTTGTATCATATGTTTGTTTAGTCATGGGATTAGAGGTCTAGATTGGATTATTCTATTGAATCCCATGTTTGTTTGGGATATTATGAAAAATGATAAATACTCAAAAGGCTATTTTGTCATTTTGAATTATTTACTAAATAATAAGAATATTAAATCTGAATTATAAATTTTATTTAATTTGTTTACTATAACTTTTAAAATATTAAGTAAATAGAATATTAATAAATATTACATAAATTTATTTTAATTTGCAATTGAGATTTTAAATTTTTATGACTACTTTATTAAGTATAATTAATACCATGAATTGACCAAATATGAAATTTTTTGACTTCATGCCTAATTCTGGTAGATCATGACAAGTTAGCAATTGTGATAATAACTTGACAAAGGTACTTAAAACTGTTACATTTTAGAAATCTGGGCAAAAGATTTCTGTGAAGGCGAAATGGACAGAAGATAAAAGAAAGAGATATTAAGTACTAGGGTCAAAGATGTAATTCAATGGCTAATCCCATGGGATACATTGTCCCACGAATTCTGTCTCAACCCCCCACCTCGGATACAATAAGCCAATGAATATATGACTAATAGTCCGAAGGGACTATTAGTCTGGAGCAAAAAATTAATACAAAATAATGGACTATTAGTCCATCCAGACTAATAGTCCAATCTCATGATGTAATCCTTCAAAACAAACATACTCTAAGAGTTCTAGGAAAATGTAGGCATTGTTTATTATAAAAGGTAGGTACCCCGTGAGTTTAAGGTATATTTTTATTTGAGAGTTGTTTCGATTATATTATAAGATTTGTCGACGGACTTGATTGTTGGAATATTCCCAGGTGAACGAGCCACCAGTATTGTTGTCTTTCTATATACAGGTGTTGGACTTATCTATTCTTGCACGTGAGCTAGGCTTAGTTTTTAAAATCTCGATGAAGAGATCTAATTTAGTTGTAAGGTCAAAATTTAAAATCCACATTTTTAATAATAATTTATTTATTTATTATTTGTTTTATTGTTCTATATTGAAACTGATTTTATTTTATTTCATATCCACAATCTTTGGACCTTTAGATTGGATTAAGGAAGGGGGGGAATGTCTAATAAATTTATTTATTTTGGGGTTGGATTTGTTTTTCTTTACCTTACGGCTGATTTTGGGCTTTCCGATTAGGCCTGCACTATTTCATCCCCCTTCAAATTACAAGGGAAAATTACCATGTAGTCCTATGTAGGGGATCTATTTCCCTTCTAATCCCAATTTATTTTTAATAGATCAATAGGTCCACAGTTTTTTAACTTTTATACCCAGAGGTCCCTTTTTTATTTTCGTATTTTTAAATGATTGTATTACCCTTTGTTTTGAGATCTATATATGCGTGAAAAATTAAATTTTTGCTCCGTTTAAAAAAAGAAAATCAAATCTTCGTCTCCGCGATTTCGATTTCTCTTCGTTGTGGCGATCTCATTGTACTGTGTGGTCGATCTCATTGTGCTGTGAGGTGGATCTGGTTGTGCAATTTGAATCTCTGTGTACAGGCGATATCTGCGTACGTTGTCTCTCTCTCTCTCTCTCTCTCTGGTGATAGATATATGTATGTGTATGTATGTATCTGTCGATACATAGATATACATATATATGTATATATATATATATATATGTGTTTGTGTGTGTATGTGGTTTGTATTTGTCGATATATATGTATGTATATATAGATAAGCAAATTTACGTGATATGTGGTTTGTGTTTGCCGAATTTTGTTTGTTTGTTTTTGATTTTGTTGATTTTGTTTGTCGTATAGTGTAATGTGTTTTGAAGTTGTATTTTGGAATTGTGAATTCTGGTGTTTTGATACTGATATGTTGTAAGTGTATAATTTTGCAATTTGGAATTGTAAATTGTGCACTGTTGGTATTGATATGTTGTAACTGTATATTTTTGCAGTTTGAAATCTGTGAACAATTGTTTGTGGGTTTGTGATTTTGTAATATGGAGCGGTGTTTCATGTTAATGTGCAAATACAGTAATTGTTGTGCTGCTATTAAGATTAGTGAGGGATATAGTTATGATGAAGTTGTTGAGAAAATATGTGCGAAGTTCAAGGAGTTGAGTGTTGGTAACTTTTGTTTGTTTTTCTCTGTTCCTGGATATTCTAATTGTATTGTTGAATGTGATGATGATTTGGGGAATATGCTGTCAATGGTAGGTGGTAGTGGTTGTCATGTTGTTGATGTTATTGTGGGGGATAAGAGAGTTGTGGAGGTTGATGATGGTAATTCTTGTAGGACTAATTCTGTAACTTGTGAGAGTTCTTTTGTGAATGATTGTGATGATGTTGGTGGTTTGTTGCGTAGTTTTTATCCAAAACCAGAGAGAGTTTTGTTGTCTGCTAGTTGGAAGGGGATTATACATAGTGTTGGTCAAGAATTTGAAGGTGAAGTGCCGGGGTTCCGCATTGCATTGGCTAAGTATGCAGTTGAGTGTGATTTTGCAGTGAATTATTTGAAGAACAATGCAACAAGAGTAACCGCTGAATGTATGATGAAGTCGTCTACGGGTTGTAAATGGTTTGTGCATGGAAGGGTGTTGATGGATTCTGGTGTTTTTTTTATAATGAAGTTAGATAATGTGCATACTTGTAGGGTTGTTGCTCGTAGATCTTGTAGCAAAATGGTTGGTTCTAGACTTGTGTCTGATATTGTGCAAAATGATATTAGTGATAATCCGTTGACTCGTCCTATTGAAGTTAAAAAAAAGTTAAAGAAGCAATATGGTATAGATGTTTCTTATCAGGTTGCATGGTTAGGAGTTGATAAGGCAAGAGGTGGGTTGTTTGGTGATTTTGCAACTTCTTTTGACCAGCTTCGATGGTACCTTGAGACGGCTATGAGAACGAATCCGGGAAGTGTGTTTGAATTAGATGTGGATGAAAGTAGTGGGTGTTTTCGGAGGTTGTTTGTGGCATTTCATGGATGTTTGTATGGCTTTCAATTTTGTCGTCCGCTGTTGTTTGTTGATGGTACATTTTTGAAGGGGCATTTGCTTGCAGCAACATCAAAGGATGGTAATCAAGGTATGTATTTATTTGCAGTTAGTATTGGTTTAGTTTGTCAGTATGTTATTGTATTGTGAGTCTGCTAATTTTTGCAGTTTGATGTGGTTTTGTTTGCAGGTTTGTTTCCTTTGGATTTTGCGATTGTTGACCCTGAAAATCAAGATAATTGGATGTGGTTCTTAAGTCAGTTGTTGAAGGCTGTTGGTTCAGGCCGGAGATTGACTTTTGTGTCGGACCGTCAACATGGATTGCTAGACGCTTTTTCAGTGGTTTTCCCCAATGCACATCATGCTTATTGCTTGAATCATTTGAAGAGAAATTTGATTGACAAATTGGTGGGACTTCGTACTAACTATAAGCTGTGTTTGATGAAAATATTAGTTAAATGTGCTTATGCGCCAACGGTTGCTTCTTTCCAACATTATATGGAGAAATTGAGGCGTATTGCTAGGAATGGTAGAGTTGATAGTATGTTGGATGGTTTGCAAAATGATAAGTGGGCCAATGCATTTTTTAGAAGGAAACGATATGGTGAGATGTCATCTAATGCTGCCGAGTCTTACAATAATTGGATTGGTGGGGCCCGTGAGTTGCCTATTACTTGTATGGTTGATATGATTAGGGTTCAAATCATGATTCAATTGTCGGATAGAAGAGCTGAATCTAGGAGATGAACTACGAAATTGTGTCCAGTTATGGAAAAGAAGTTGGTAGACTCTTTGGAGCTAGCTAAGTCTTGGGATGTGATTGTTGCTAGTGATACTGTGCTTGAGGTTCATTCATCTATTTCTTTTTATGTTGATATTGGTAGACAGACTTGTTCTTGCCATGAATGGCAATTGAATGGTTTTCCTTGTTGTCATGGTGTGCATGCTTTGCGTAGTAGTGGTAGAGATGTGTATGGTTTCATTGATCCTTTTTTTCATGTAGATTGTTTTAGAGAGTCAAAAAAATGAATCTGTTTATCTAGTGCCTTCAAGTGAGAGATTTGACTTTGATGGTGCCAGTAGTTCGGTTATCAAACCTCCTATAACGAAGAAGCAGCCCGGGCGGAACAAGAAGAAGAAGATACCTTCAAGGGGTGAGAATGTGAAGCAAATCAAGTTTCTTCTATTTCTTTTTATGTTGATATTGGCAGACAGACTTGTTCTTTCCATGAATGGCAATTGAATGGTTTTCCTTGTTGTCATGGTGTGCATGCTTTGCGTAGTAGTGGTAGAGATGTGTATGGTTTCATTGATCCTTTTTTTCATGTAGATTGTTTTAGAGAGTCATACAAGGAATCTGTTTATCCAGTGCCTTCAAGTGAGAGATTTGACTTTGATGGTGCCAGTAGTTCGGTTATCAAACCTCCTATAACGAAGAAGCAGCCCGGGCGGAACAAAAAGAAGAGGATACTTTCTAGGGGTGAGAATGTAAAGCAAATCAAGTGTGGGAGGTGCTTCAAATATGGGAATCACAATAAGAAGACGTGCAAGGCTGCTATTTGAGGCCACAATCTATTCTTTTGGATTTGTATTTGAATTTGAGGAATTATGATAATAAAAAATGTGATACGTGGTATTATGGAAGTAATGAATAAAGTTGGTTGAATTGTTTTTTGTTTGTTGATGTGTTCTTTACTTATTGAAGTTGTTTTGTAACAGTTTGGTTTTATTTTTTATTTTTATGGAATGCAGAGAAGGTTGTTGAAAATTTCTTATTGAAACAGTATAATATGGAAATGCATTCATATTTCATAGCGAGAAAACTGTATAGTTTTGCAGTTTTAAGAATTATTAGAAACGACCTGATGAAACCGCATAATTTTGCAGTTTTAAAAATTATTAGAAATAAGCTGATGAAACTGCAAAATTTTGCAGTTTGAAGAATTATTAGAAACAACCTTTACTGTATGAAAATATATGCAACCACAAACAAGTAGACAAACAATCAGAAGAAGAACCACAATAATAAAAACAAGAAGAAGAGCAACAACAACATCAATCATTTTCACCATAACCATAATAACCAGAAAAAGATCATTCCCAAAAGTATATAAAGTACTTGTCACATGTTAAAAAAGAAAAATTAAAAAAATTAAAAAAAAAGGTACAAAGATATGTTCCCTTGAATATTTGTATTGTCAATAAGTTTGTTCATTGTTTCTATGGTTTGGTATGTTTTGTCAACATTTGGTAATGCTCGAGTTTCCAGGATCGGTTCTCATCATTGAGGAATTGATTGATGATTTGTGCTCGAAACTTGACCCACTCAGTTGGACGAAGTTTTTTCTGCACAGGTTGCCAGTTGAGATATTGGCGATTGCACAATCATTCATGCAGTGTTTGAGATGAAGTTAATTAGTTAGGTGAAACTGCAAAATTTAGCATATTGGAAGATTAGTTTATGGATTTTGTATCTTACGAGTGTGGGGTTTGTTGTGGGCATTCCTCAATTGATGCAATTTCTGTCTCGCACTCTTGAGATGATAACATGTTTCCCTGTTTGCTGAGTAATGCTTTATTCTATCTCAGTTGATGTTGTTGCTACAAAATAGTTAGTGGGAGTTTTTGTTAGTTATAGTGATGAGTTGAGATGTTTGTAAAGGAATGGAACTAAGTATGAAATTTTATTTTAACTTACAATTTGCTCTGCAATTTCTAAGTACTTGTTGTGGCAATCTTTTGCTGGTCTCAAAGAGTCATAGTGTCTCCATATTCCATCAGCATTGTCAAAGACCACAGTTGTCCAATGGTTGTTGTGGTTAATTGGGAAATGGATATATCTGTTTTTCATTGCTTCTGGAAAATGGCTATCCATCAGTTTTTCTCTCAGTGCTTGATCTTGGTTTTGTAGTGGAGTCTGTAAGTTATATATATGTTTGAAATATGTTATAAAACTATGTAGTAATACATGTTGAGAAAGTAGAAAATTTTGCAGTTGTAAGGTATGTTAAGTTTTGCTTACATTGATGAGTGTTGAGAAAACGTAAGATCTTCCTGCATATGGATTGCTTGCAAAGACTAGATCGTTTTTCTCAAATTCTTCAATTGTTGGTTGGAGTGCCAATTGCTTTTCTGAGAAGGCATCAATGACCTGAAACATGTTATATATGAGAATGTGTTAGGTTTGTGGAATAGGTTATTGAATATGTACAGAAACTGTAAAATTGTGCAGCTGGAGACCTACATTCCCATATAAGGGTTCCCTATTGGTCAATCTGCATATATCTGAAAAGTATACGCAGTTTTCATCTTCGCTGCCAGACCAGACACAAGCACTTGATTGTGTGTTGTTGATGAGTTGAATTTGGTCTTGGTCTTTTTTGGATAGGCTATGCCAAACCTTGTTTGTTTTGCGGCATGAAATGGCGAGTGGCTTGTTTGGGATTGATTCTTCCTAGAAATCATCATCACTTTCCAATACTTGAAGTTTTGTCTTCTTTTGATTGGCATGCTCTTTTGGGTTTGTTTCAGCAGCAACTGCTTTCTCTTGGCCAATATGTTCTTGCATCTTTTCTTTCTGCTGTTATTTTTCTTCATGAGCACCCTCTTTTTTGTTGTCATTCTTCTTCTCTTTTTCCTCATCGGTACCCTGTGTTGGTTTGGGTACATCAGCAGCAGTTTGTGTCTTGTTTCTTGCATCTTCTTTGGGTTTGGTCATTGGTTGGTATTTTGATTCTTCCTGGAAATCATCATCACTTTCCAATACTTGAAGTTTTGTCTTCTTTTGATTGGCATGCTCTTTTGGGTTTGTTTCAGCAGCAACTGCTTTCTCTTGGCCAATATGTTCTTGCATCTTTTCTTTCTGCTGTTGTTTTGCTTCATGAGCACCCTCTTTTTTGTTGTCATTCTTCTTCTCTTTTTCTTCATCGGTACCCTGTGTTGGTTTGTGTACATCAGCAGCAGTTTGTGTCTTGTTTCTTGCATCTTCTTTGGGTTTGGTTATTGGTTGGTATTCAAAATCTGGGTCATGTGCTTGTTTTCTTGATTTTTGTTTGATTCTCTTGACCATGGATCTTTGTTGGGAACTGCCAGTTTTTTTGGTGGACATTTCCTTCAATTGATCTTCTTTTTTATGCAATTCAGCCATGAATTTTTGTTCCATTTTTTGCATTTGTGCTCTCATGGCTGATATGAGCTTGTCCTTGTCGTCCTCTTTGTTTGTTGTCTTTCTTCTGCTTTGTCATTGTCTTGTTGTTCATCAGGTTCGTCTTCTGTTTCTTGTTGTTGTTGTTGTTGTTGTTGCTCTTCTTCTTCTTCTTCTTCTTCAGTTTCTTCTTCATCAGTTTTTTCTTCATCAGTCACTTGATTTTTTTCATCATCACTTTTTTCTTCTTGTTCATCACTTTCTGGTTCTTCTTGTGGTTTTTGCTTTCTTTTTTTTTTTTGTTGTTCTTCTTGTTCTGATTGTGATTGTGATTCTGAATGATGTTCTTCTTCGAGAAAGTCATCCTTATCATTGTCTAGAAGTCTTCTTTATTTGTTGCTTTTGTTTTCTTTTTTTGCTTATTGTCCTTTTTGTGGTCTTGTTTCTTTGCTGAAGAGTCTGTTGATGTGCTTTGATTGATATGCAATAACTGTATTTCTTGTTCAGTTGGGGTTAAAGCACTTTGGTTAACCTGCATTGAAACAATGTGGCATATGTCAGTAATACTGTAAATTTGGTCAGTTTCATAAGATGAGTTGTACTGTGAGTAATATGGGTTAAGTGTCGAAATATGTTTTTTGAAACTGAAAAATGTTACAGTTTCATAACATGAGTGATGTTAAAGAAGTGTGTGCTTTGAAACTGAAAATTTTCACAGTTTCATAATATGATTTGTACTACAATGAATATGAAAGGAGTGTTGAATAGATTTGTGCTAGGATAGTATAGAAGAGTTTGAATACCTTTTCAAAGTGAGCGAGGCTGATGTGTTTCCACTTGGAGTACATTTTGCCAAGGTTCCATTTCATAAACCTTGGGAAGCCTTCTTTGTTGGATGGTCGGAGGAGTTTACTGTGCTCACAGTACCAGTACTGTAAAAAAAAAAGTTGAAATATGTTAGATAGTTAGAAATAGGTGGATGTCTGATATTTTTGTGGGAAGTAGTTGAGTAATGTGTTTACCAAGAGTAACATGACGCATCCAGTGACATGCCTTGGGTTGTTGTTTGCATTTGCCATTGAATTCATCAGTGTGTCTTTTATTGCCTCAACCCAATTGTACTTCTTGATGTTGTTGAGATTGTCAACATAGTTGAGGAAACTCCAACTGAGTGTATGGCCTGTTGTGGGCATGAGAAGTTTCAAGCACAAGTAAAGGGTGATTACCCTTGCAAGATCTTGACAATCATTGGTTGATTTTCCATTTTTTGTTTGTTGAAACATTTTGGTCAAAGACTTGCCATCCAATCTCTTGACTGATTTGCATCTTCGTTTGTAAAATGGAAGCTCAAAATCCTTTGGTCTTGCATAGGATTTGGTGGTGATATTGTCTTCTCCACAGTCGATACCAAAAATGTGCTTGACATCACTGCTTCTAAGTTTCATTTCCTTTTTGCCAAGTACAAATGATCTTTTTATTTTGTTGTAGAGTGTTGTCATTTCTGCTACAATGGAATTGTAGCATCTACACCAAGAGACCTTCAGTTGTGTTGAGGAGAGAGCATTTATAAGGGGCCAAAAAGGGGTTTTTTGCAGCTCTGTCTGTTGGGCTTTTGTGAATTTGACCCCCTTCAACAGTTTGATTACCGTTCCAATGTTGGAACGATAATTAAATCGTTGGACTCTCTTTGCAGGGACTGCTACTTTTTTTTCTTTTGATGCCTTGGTTAAAAATGAAAGTGACAACAGGGTATGAGTAATATAGTGACAAAACTGTATAATTTTGAAGTTTTATATGCAGTTTAATATGAAGTTATATGTATTTTGTTGGTAAGAGTTACGAAACTGTATAATTTGACAGTTTGATTTGCACTTTATAATAAGTTAGCTATTTGTTTTGAGTAGTGGTTAAACTGTGTAATTTTGCAGTTTCATTTGCATTTTGAATAAATTTAGATATGTTGCTTGTATAGTGATGAAATGAAACACTATGATGTTGCAGTTTTTATAAGGAAACAGTATGAACAATAGGAACAGCCCATTGTATTTTGTAAAAAGCAACAATAACAACAAGAAGATTAAAAATTCAAAAATAAGAATAAGAGAAGCCAATTTTGAATAACAAGAATAAGAATAAGGTGTTTGAATGTGTAAAAACAGGGATTTATGTGTAAAAACAGTGTTTAGAATGTTGAAAAATAGGGGACTATATATAATAGAGGGTTTATACATTTGGAAGTATGTAAAATGTGTATATACGAAATATGAAAGAATGATGTACAAATGTGAATGAAAAATAATGAATAGGTGAAGAGAGATGTTACTTTTTTTCTCCATTTTTGTGAATCGGAAATCAGGAACTATGAAATCTCTTCAGAGTGGTGATGGTTCTTCGTGTTGTTGAGAGTCGCCGATTGGAGAATATGAACGGCTTGGTGTTGTGTTGAAGATGAACGGTTTGGTTTTGTGGTTAGGGTAGGGTTTCAGAGGGAATGGAGTCGAACGGAGGAGAGATGGAGGATTGAGAATGCGATTTCGAGCGACGGAGATGTAACAGTGTACTGATCAGACTGAGATGATTGTGGGTGATGAAAATGAACGGTTACGTTTTCTGGTTAGGGTTAGGGTTTCAGAGGGGATGGAGTTGAACGGAAGAGAGATGGAGGACTCAGGAGTCGATTTCGAGCGGCAGAGACGTGACAGTGTAGTGATCGGACTGAGATGATGGGGATGTGGGAGATGGTTGCGCGCGTGTAAATTGGATGATATATTATGGGTATTTTCGTCTTATTGTTAATTTGAAGACTTAATGGAGTATTAAATTTGTTCTGAGTCTAAATGAGGTATGATATATTGGGCTTGGACCTTTGGGTCAGACGCCCAAATTACAATTGGTTTTGGGCTTCACTGTTGGGCCTTGCAATGTTTACTTGTTTCTTGTATTTTCACCACATGCTATAAAAATCTTGTACCAAAGAGAAACAAATGTATGTATTGGTTTATTTAAAAGCTTCCGTAAAACCTATTTTATAAACAATAATATTTTGTTTTTGCATTTTATTTACCAATGAATCCCACCCCTCATGTCTGTCTATTACTAATGTACAATATAAGATAGTAAATAAAATATGATAGAAAAATGTGATTATTATGACATTAATAATGATAACATGTTTCCCATGAAATTGAACACGTCACCAAATAAGCCGCAATAATGTGCAAACAATAAGGGGGAAAAAATTAATGTTATTTATAACATGATAATTATAGTCGAACAACAAATTTTAATTTTTTTTTTTTTTTTGTTGGTATTATGTTATTTAACCATTTTTCGTATAAGATGCAAAAATTTTGATCAATTGAAATAGCCTCTTTATTTGCAACATTTATTCTTGATATATTATTGCAATGTATCTGTTATATAAAATACAAAAGTCCTAAACTTGTGCCTCTGAGAGTGGGATGAAAGTTAATCCCATGTGTAAGGTTACTTATATGCCAATGGATCGGGGTGTCGGAAAGCTTATGTATAATCTAAATTTGGTATAATAAATTTAAATAGTCTAGAATTTTTATATTTTGGGTATATTTTTGGGTGCATAGTATTAGTGTTTTGGTGTGGTTGGTCATGCATATTATCTACATGATACAACAGAAAAGAGAAAGTACATAATATATATAGAAAAACATATTCTGCACCTATTTGGTGCGACTCATATAGCTTTTTAAGATTACTTATTTATTTTTGGGTGGAATTTATACAAGTATGTTTCGTGTTACAATTTAAAAGTTAAAAATAACTTAAATAAATTGATAATAGAAGAGTTTTTACTTTTTGTTTTCTGATTGTAAACTTTCATTTTTATTGTTAGTGCATTATATTGTTAGTGTATTCTATGTTGTTATTAGCTGTAAAGTGTGTCCTAGCTGATCATGGTGTCTTTGCTTTCGGTTGCTTTTGGGTGCATTGTTTGTAAACTTCTCCTTTATAAGGAGCTCCTGAACCATTGTACAAAATACCTTAAATAAATTGATAATAGAAGAGTTATACTTTTACTTTTTGTTTTCTAATTGTAAACTTTCATTTTTATAAAAAAAATCGCATAAAAAACTCTCGTTTATAAGAGTTGAATTCAAATCATCCATTTTGTTTTTCTGAATATAATTTTATGTACATATCTTTACTGCATCTTCTACGGTTTCTTAAATCTCGTAAAGCATTCCAACTTGCAAAGTCTTTTCCTGTGGAAGGTTTTCTTAAATCTCATAAAGCATTTTGACTTGCAAAGTCTTTTCTTGTGAGACATTAACGCGGTATTTGGTTGTGAGATTTGAAAAAAAATTTAGAAAGAGAAAGTTTTGCCACCACAGAACGAACATAATCGTCTCCCTCCATGCTTGGCAAATCCTTGTAACCAAACTGAACCAAACACCTACAAACACCATCAAGTCCCAACTTCCCCACCACTAGCCTCTCCGCGGGGAGGACAGTCTTGATCGGCAGAGTCCTCACTGTCACACTCACCATGATTTTGCAGATAGCAAGTCGTTATGATCATCACCTAGACAACCACCACACCTGTGAATTTCATGAGAGGAACTCTAGATTAGAAAATGCGCAACTAGCTCCATTTTAGCAGGGTGTAAGCTGATTTGAGGGATGATTCAGAGATGGGCATACTTCTTTTTTTTGTTATAATCTTTTTCATTTTATTCTCTAATTTGATTGGGCCTTCACTATTGGTTTTGGGGTTCACAGTTGGGCCTTGCAAGTGTTTTTCAATAAGGTACAAATTTTACAACTTCTGTTTCTTGTATTTTCGCCACATGCATTAAAAATCTTGTACCACAGAGAGAAACACTTGTACATATTGATGTAGAGAGAAATTTAATGGGCGTATTTAAAACGTACGTAAAACCCATTTTGTAAATAATAATCTTATAATAATCATATTTTATTTAGAGAAAATTAATCTCAGGTCTCTCTCTCATTTTTAATAATGAAAGAACTTCACGATATTATTTTGTGATGTCTAAAATCCCTCAATCCTACACCCATATATCATAGAGAAATTTGACTCTCTCAAATCAAACCTCATTTCTCTCTTCCTCTCATTCCCTCTCTCTTCTCTTAGTTTGACGCCATCACAAAGCTCACTCTCCGATGCAACTGGCGATCCGTCAACCTAGACGACGATGTCTTGATTCTCATCTCGCTCCGCTGCGTTAACCTCACGCGCCTCAAGCTCCGCGGCTGCTATGAGCTCACCGACTTCGGCATGACCATTTTCGCAAGGGTTTAAAGAAGTTCTCGTGTGGATCTTGGATGTTTGGAGTCAAAGGCATTAACGTAGTGCTCGATCACTGTTCCTCTCTCGAAGAGTTCTCTGTCAAGCGCCTCCGTGGCATCAACGACGACGAAGGTATGGCCGCTGCCGCCAAGCCTATTGGCCTTGGCGTCGCCGCTTTGTCTTTGAAAACCATATGCCTCAAGGAGCTTTACAATAGACAGTGCTTTGGACCGCTCATCGTTGGCACGAAGAATCTGAAAACTCTGAAATTGTTGTGATGTTTAGGTGATTGAGATAGGCTTTTGGAAATGATCGCAAATCGAAACAACTCTTTGGTCGAAATCCATTTGAAGAGGCTTCAGGTGAGTGATACCGATCTTATAGCGATTTCGAATTGTGGCTTTGATCATATTACTGAGTTCTAGAAGATATTATTTTTAATTTGTTTCACTATCTAGATGGCCTTTGAATTTTGTGATTAGTTGGCTATTGTGCGAATTGTTGAATTGTTTGGATAGGTATAAATTTTGGAGTAGAATTGTTGAATAAGCTAAGACAGAGGCTTTCTTCACAGAGAAATTTGTAAAAAAAAAGCTAGAGAAATTCTCTCTAAATAAAGCCAGAGAAATTTCAATTTTCTCTGGTTTGAATCCAGAGTAATTCTCTGGATGTAATGAGGCAAATTTCTCTAATTTGGAGAGAATTTATGTGGTTTGGAGAGAATTTCTTTGGAAAGTCTAGAGAAATTCATTGGATCAAATTTTCTCTAGATCGATTTGAGGGACCTTAGATATTACAAAAATATTAGATGTCCTTTATGTTACTCAAAAGACAACCTAAGAGGGGGGGTTGAATTAGAGTTTTACAAATAAAAATAATAATACCCTAATAAAAATTATGACTAGTGCAATAGATAAATATAGTTAATGAAATAGAAATAATTAAAACAAGTATTCTAACAAGTATGTCAATTAATGATTTTAGCACAGTGAAAATGTGAAATATAGTTATGGCAATTTAAATAAAATAAAGAGATAAGGGAGAGAGAGGCAAACAAATTTATAATTGTTCGGCTTCAACTTGGCCTACGTCCACTCCTCAAACTTCACTTGAGATTTTCCACTATACTCTAGCTTCACAGGGTGCTAGCAACCTTTCATATATGGAGCAATCCTCCACGGATTTTACACAGACTTTCTAAGTCCAAAA